CTGGGGGCTGCTAAGGACATTTCTTGTGAACTTTTAGGAGAGGCTGCAGTTCAAAAGGTGCCACATGTTTCGTTTTCTGCTAGCACCGTAACTAGACGAACTGATGAAATAGCAGAGGATATTGAGGCACATTGTTAGAGAGGATTAATGAGTCGCTGTGGTACGCTATCCAGGTTGACGAGTCTACCGATGTTGACAAGACAATAATGCTTGTTTTTGTGCGATATATTTTTCAGACAGATGTGTCATATGCACTTTTGTTGCCAACCAACACCTCTGCTGCAGAACTATTCAAGTCTTAGAATGATTACATATCAGGAAACTGAATTGGTCACTTTGTGTAGGTATGTGCGTGAATGGAGAGGCTGCCATGACTGGGTGGCTTTCGGGTGTCACTACTCGGGTCAAAGAGCTCGCTTCTGAATGTGAGCCTGCACACTGGGTCATCCAGAGAAATGCTGGCTGGCCGAAAAATGTCACCTGAACTTAACGTTTTGCAGGATGGGATGAAAATTATCAGTCACATTAAAGCACATGCCCTTAACTCACGTCAGTTCACGCAGCTCTGTGAGGACGTAGAGTGCACACGTCTTCTCTTATATGTAGAGGTGAGATGGGTTTCTAAAGGTAGATCACTGGCCTGGGTTTTTGAGTTAGGAGAGCTGCTCCAGAGATTTCTTTTAGAAAACCAGTCACACTGGCAGCACATTACAGTGACACAAAATGGGTGGCAAACTTGCTTACTTGTGTGACATATTCAAACTGCTCAAGAAACTCAATCTGTTACTTCAGGGAAGAAGGAAAATTGTGTTCCAGTTGGTGGATAAAGTGGCTGCATTCAAAGCCAAACTGGAATTACGGGGGCGATGAGTGAACACTGGGATTTTTGACATGTTTCAAACATTAGCAGAGATTTTTGAAAGAGACTGAGCCAGGGCTTTCTTTCTCCCAGCTGGTGCCTGATCACCTATTGCAGCTTTCAAAAGAGTTTGAGCATTACTTCCCAACCACAAAAGACCCCGACCTGGGAAGGAATGAATCCGCGCCCCATTTGTGAATAACCCAGGTGGATCGACTCTGTCCATGCAAGAAGAAGGCCAACTGCTTGAGATCACAAATGACGGCAGCTTTAAGTATGTTTGAGACAACTTCAAATCTGCATATGTTCTGGATTAAAGTCAAGGCGGAATACCCTGAGGTTGCCACAAAAGCACTGAAAAGCCTGCTTCCATTTCCAGCATCCTATCTTCATGAAGCAGGGTTTTCTGCAGAGACAGCAACCAAAATGAGATTACAGACTAGACTGGACATAAGCAACACACTTAGGGTATCACTGTCTCCCATCACCCCCAGATGGGATGGTCTATTTGCAGGAAAACAAGCTCAGGGTATTACAGAAACAACCCCCTCCCTGGGGTCTTGTTTTAGCTATGGCTCTTTTTTGCCCACTGCTGGTAGGAATTGTGGCTCTCAATGTCAAAGTTTGGTAAAAAGGAAAGGAATGATTTAATTGAAAGTTATACAGGTGTAGAAAAACGGCAGAATTCTACCATTAAATCTCACTCCATTTAGAGACAAAGACACACCCACAAACACACAGCCCTGCCCTCCCCCCTTGCCCAGTCAGGCCAGTCTCAGAGCATGCAGTCCGAAGTACAGTCAGTCCTCCAGAAGGAAAAAACAGAAGTCTGCAGCTCACTTCTCCAGGTTCCCCCCTGTAACCTGTGCTCTGCTGGGCAGGTCTCCCACGGTTCCCAGCACCACCAGCTGTGTCACCGTGATCTCCAGTTCTTAATCCAAAACCATGTGGCACCTCCTCATGGCCCGCCAGCGAGGGTCCTTTAACCCCTTTTTTTCCTGCATGATCTCCACATTGTTTCCGTTCCACCTGGTGGCCAGCCTTTTTGTTTAAATCCCAGTCTGGAAACTCCTCCGTAACCCCATTTCCAATTCCTCCCACAACTGGCCTCACCTGCTAGCACTCCCCTATTCTCTGCCTTTCTTGGCTGCCATAGTTAGTTCGGGCTGGCGTGGAGCGAACCATCTTCAAACTCTCACGCAGGCACTGTAATGGGGTGGGGAGGGGAGCTGCCTCCCAGCTACATCAAGGGTGAAAATCTTGCCCATCACCCTGGCCCAGGAACACTATGAAGCTAACCTGCTATTATTAATATGCAAAATAACTCTCAATCCCTGTGCTGTTGCTTTTCCCAGACCCCAAGCTAGGCTTGTGCGGGAGTGCCCAGGGGCCCTCTCAGCCTGCACCCTACTCTGAACCTTGTTCCACACCCATTATAAGGGCTCCCACTAATTCTGCATTATGGTGAGTTGATAATTATTTCATTATATATTACAAAGTAATAATAATAAAATGTACAACAAACAAAAATGTACAAAAAATAAGAAAATGTTCTTAAATCATCCTGAAACCATCCCCTTCAACCGATGGTCTTTGGAAAAATTGTCTTCCACTAAACTGGTCCCTGTTTAAACTGGTCCCCAAAAGGGTTGGGGACACTGTTCTGCCAGGCTCTGCCACAGTGGGTGTGTGGCGAGGTGGGCAGGGGGAGGTGGGTCTGGGAGTCTGCCGCTTTACCTTCCTGCTAGTAATGGTGGCTGCTAGTCTGCTGCTGCTCCCACAATGCTGTGTCATGTCTCCACCTGAGTTTAGTCTCAATTGGTGCTGGCTACTCAGGCAGAAATATTGCTTCTGGCCCTCTGGGATGCCAAGTGTGGGCTGCAACCCAACTCCTTCCTCCCTGCCACATCAGCTGGGGCCATGGTGGGTCCCCATCACTGTCCTTCTGCCCTCTTGCCTCTCCTGCTCGTTCTGATTTGACCACCTTCAGATGTCTCAATGCGTGGATCTCTCAGATGTGTTTGTGTGTTGAGCAAGGAAGCCTTTGTTGAATTATAGTTATCTGACTTGTTATAACCTTAAGGGGAGAAACCAAGGAGTCTCCTCACTCTGCCATGATACACAGTCCTCTCTGCCCTTTGTAGAATCTAATGTCCTTATCACATCGTGTTGCACCTCTGCTTGTGGGGTTCCTCAGGACATGGCCTTTCCATAATCTCAGAGAACAGATGGTTGACTGGCCAGCAGCCATAAGGCACAAGGAAAACTCTATCTGAATGTCCCAGTCCTCTCAAGGCCCCTTTGTTTGTCATAGACATGTAGCGCTTTCACAGGCCACTGCTGCTCCCACCGCTGCTCCCTCCACTGCTGCTCCGCCCTCCCTACCCCTACAAGTAGCAACAAGACTGGAGGTGGAGTGTGGTCTCTCTTGCCTGACCCGCATCATCAGCGCACTCCCCTGTAATGCGAGGAATAAATGGCATGTCCACATTTGCTGGTCCTCTGGGTGATTTTTACAGAATATCACAAACACAAGTACAGCTCCCTGGCTCGGAGCTCCTGTGTTACACTGCTTTTATCAAATGCAGTCTTTTTTTTTTTTTTTTTAATCCTCACCCAAGAATATTTCCATTGATTTTAGAGAAAGAGGAAGGGAAAGGGAGAGAGAGAGATTGAGAGAGAGACATTGATGTAAGAAGGAAACATCAATAGGTTGCCTCCTATGCACATCCTGACTGGGGACTGAACCTGCAACCTAGGTATGTGCCCTGACTGGGAGTTGAACCCACAACCTTTTAGTGTATGGGATGATGCTCCAACCAAATGAGCCACCGGCCAGGGCTCAAGCATAGTCTTTTGTGACCCAGTGATACAGGCAGCTGGGGTAATGCAACTGGGTTCCTGTCTCTGCAGGGCCACTATCTAGCTGAGCAATTGTAAGAAGTCCCTCTCCTTCACTGATCTTCACTTTCTTTTCATTGTTTGATATTTGAATGTGAAACCTCTTCCAGTGGTATTTGCAATATTCTCCAACTTATATCCTCTAGGAAGCCTTTCTGGTCTGCCCCAGGATTCTCCTCCATCCACTAACCGATATTTTACTGTAGTCAGTACTATATGCTTTAAGAATTATTTGTTCTTTGGCAATTTATTAAGTGTGTGATACTATGAAACCAGTAGGGCAAAGTCATAGCGACTGAGACAGTAAGGCATGAGACAGGCCACGGGAAAGGTAGAAGGCGCAGTCAAGCAGGGGAACGGGTGGCCAGGCAGAAGCGCAGGACACAGTTTTGTGAAGTAGGAAGAGCACCTGGCTGGGAGTCAGCTCTAGGCCTGTGCTCTAGTGCAGGTTCTGCCCCTAAATTGCCATGTGACCTTCCCATACTAATTAGATTGGGATCTTTGGCCAGGAGAACTGGGCACAGGTATTTCTTGAAATGCTTCAGTTGGTTTTAATGCACAGTGAGGGTTTATCGCTGCTAGTTTATATGGCGTAGAGGAGCAAAACAAATCTGGGTTCCAGGCTCATCCTTGCTATTTGCTAGCTACGTGACCTTGAAACAGTTGCTTAATGCTCTGAATCCCAGGTTCCTCAACTGTAAATTAAGGGTATAAGAATAATTGCTCAAGATGTTCAGTTGAGGAAATGGTACCCAATTGTCCTAATAGTGAAGGACACTGGCCAAGATGACATAGAAACTGCTTGTTGTGTAGATTCGCGAAGCTTTCTGGAGAATACATAAATAGCTAAAAAAATTTTTTTTGATAAACCTACTTAACTGGTCTACTCAGATACAGAATGCACAGACTGATTGCTCTACTGCATGCCAGATAATCAAAGTGCCCAAACAGGATTCATGTTTCCCACACTCCCTGCAGTATCTTCTTCCCCACTCTCTTCTTAAATCATTTTTTTCCCTTTGTTCCTTGGCTACGGAGACTGAGAGCTGACTCTTCACAGGTGAGAAACCAATTTGCTTGCAAACTAACCAAATTAGCATCAGAGCTGTTATTTGCCATGAAGGTGTGAGGATGAATGGGAAGTGCCCACACCAACCAGCCCTTAGTCAGGGTGAGCTCTCATCTGGGAATGACTGGGACCCTCCTAGAGCCTCTGCTTCTCTTTTCTCCCTTTCCATAGATTCCACTGCATCGTGCACTCTCTCTGCAAAAAGCTGACCCTGCAGAAGGGGCTGGTCACCATTGCAGTCATTTGGGCCCTGGCCCTGCTCATCATGGGCACGTCTGCGTCACAATGACTTGCAGGAGGAGCACCGTTTCATGGTGGACGCCCTACAACTGCTCCTCCTCACTCTAATTGTAGTGGGTGTGTAAGAGGACACAGCCAGGAACCCCCAGCGGGGTTTTGTAAAGGCGTCCAGAAATTGGAGTGTCCAAGAAAGATATAGGATATTCTCCCCCCACCCCCACACAACGTGGGCTGCCCTGGGGGGATGGGAGACAGGGAGCAGGGCCATTGAGAGTCATTTTGGACGTCAATAACAGGAGGATAGCTTCATATATAATATGCAAAGATGGCTATTTTGCATATCAACACAGCTAACCAGGAAAGTTTGCATAACTTTAACCCAGGAGGGCATTGGGAAGCAGCTCCCCTGGTTAGGGCCCTGCCTGAGATGGGATTGTGGGGGAGGATTCACACAGGGGTTTAAAACCCAGACAGCTATACAACAGCAGCTTAGGAAGCGGGATGTAACTGGGAAGGGGACGCAGGGCCTTCAAGAGAGAGAATGGGACATAGACTTGGGAGAACAATGTGAAGACCGTGCAGGAAGAAAAGGGGAGAAAGAACTCTTGTTAGGGCCATGAGAACATGCTACATGGTTCTGAATTAAGAGCTGGAGATCATAGTGATGCAGCAGACGGTGCTTGGAACCGTGAGGGGCCTGCCTAGCTGAGCTCCGGACGTCTCTTCTTTATCTTCTGAAGGACGGTACCCCTGACTGGCCTGGCTGGGCAAAGCAGGGGAAGGCAGGACTGTATGTTGGTGGTTGTTTTAAAGAGATTTTGAGATTTTAACAACGACATTTAGCCATTATTAAAAACTTATATAACTTTTGAATAAATTGTTCCTTTCCTTTTCACCAAACTCTGCTGTTGAGAGCCATAATTTCAAGGGTGGCGGGCAAAGGACCTAGAACCAAGGGACTCCAGGAAAGGGGGGGGGCGTTGTTTCAGTAATAGTATGTGCCCCCTGACCCCCTTTCCGCCCCCCTCCATTATTAGGTATCGGGAGGGCTGGCCTGAGAAGGGCATGCACCGGGTTTGCACTGCTGTGCTCTTTTCCCACATCTACCTTGCACCATTGACGTTCTTTGTGGCCATGTATGCCTGCAAGCTTGTTGAGGCTTCAGGCCCCAGCCAAATGGGCAAGGAAGGCAGGTGGGGGTCTCTGGTACAAGGTCAAGGTTATGCACATGCTGGTTGTGGTGGCAGTCTTCTTCACAGTCCTGGCTGCCACCCTGGGCACTGCTGCTGCTCACCCACCACCCGCAGCTCAGTGAGCCACAGTTGCACCTGACCTCTGTCTACTCCTTCCCCTTAGCCCACTGACTGGCCTTTCTCAACAGTAGCGCCAACCCCACCATCTATGGCTACTTCAACAAGAACTTCTGCCATGGCTTCCAGGCCGCCTTCCATGTCTAGCTCTGCCCACTGCAGTAGGGGAGCCACAAGAAAGCCTACTTACTGCTCACTTGGGTCTTGGTGGAGGTGCAGCCTAGTGACTCAGGCCTGCCCTTTGAGTTGGGGCCCAGCAGCGGGCGCTCCCAAGCCTGGCTGCCTCCTGCCACACAATGGCCCGATGGCACACCATGGCTTGGCTGTAGAGGGTCCTGGTTGCTCCCATCTGCCCCTTACCAGACCAGCCTGGGATATATGAGTGGCATCGGGAGGGCAGACCCTCAATCTGAGGGCCAGGAGTAGACATGTGAGACTGGCGTGTGTTAGCAGCCTGGTGTGGTTTTGAAGAAGGTACCATGGTAGAGTCCTCTCAAATACAAGGCAGTGGGCAGCTGTTAGTGACATCTTCTTCCCTACCTCCCTTTCAGACAGAGAAAGGGAAGGGAAGAAGAGCTCAGTTTGGCCCAAACCCTTCCCTGTGATAGATGCCAGGAACTTCATCTCATTGAATTCTCATAACAATACCAGTAACTTGGCCAGTGCGGGAGTACGAGCAGGAGTAGAGGGAAGGGGCTGCAGGGGCATTGCCCTGTTGCCCCTGTAACTAAGCTAGTGTGGCGTGTAACAACAGTTACCCCACCCCCGGCAAAGATGCGGCAAGAGGAAGTCATTGCTCTGAGCACGCACGCGGCTATCCAGAGTGACTGGCAAAAGGAAAAGCCCTCCTACTCCTGGGTGGTGCGTGGGGGTGGGGCCAGAGCCTGTAGCTGCGGATAGCTTAGAGGTCAAGAAGGCGGCAAGGGGAGGTGCTGTGTTAGAGCAAGACCTGTCAGTCTAGCTTAGGAAAAAGATGGGATTGGTTGTAGGGCTGGACTCTCCCGGAGTGGGGAATTTGGGGCTGTAAGATAAAGCCAAGGGAAGGGAGGGGCGAGCTCTATTGGAACCACCTCCGTGGGCATGCTGGCTGGAGCGATTGCTGGATTGGCTGGCCCTGGAAGCCGCAAGGCTAACGGTGGCTCCAGCAACACCTGTGGGCCCCAGGAGGCAGCCTGAAACCAAAGAGCTGCCTGCTTCGCCACCTCGGACTTCAAAGGACATATGAGGATCCAGCAGGTATTCTGGGCATTGTTTTGGGCTTTGGTCTTTTTGGGTACAGCTGGGTTTTGTTTGTGTTTAGTAGAAGAGATGAGCCTGGAGACGGGGAGTCCCCTGTTTTCCCAAATTGCACAGCATTTTAATAAAGGCCACTTTCCTTCTTCACCAGCCTCTGTCTCCGGAATTTGCCCGTGGGTGGCAGCGGGCAGCCAAGCCCCACTTTTTTTTGGTAATAATAACACTTTGGGAATAGGCTTCCCTGTCTCCCTCCTGCAGAGGAGAGACTGAGCCCAGGAGAGCTGTGGCTAGCCCAGGCCCTCGGTTGAAAATCTCACAGGAGAATGGCTAACTCCAGAGACTGATTTTATCTCTAGCTGTCTCCTTATGGTGGAGCATAGTGAAATGTATAAATACTAAATAGGCTGCTGGAAAAACCCCGAAAGCATGGCTGGCCTGTTCATTTGATGCTTTGTGTCCATGTCCTAGACTCTCTCCTGTGTGTTACTGAAGCCACTCGCCTTGACTCCTTCCACGGAGAATATGGTATGCCCCTCCTGCCAGCTTGTGGGTGTGTCTTGTTGGTGTCCAGGGCCATTCCCTTCTCCCCAAAGTAGTAAAACAGGACTTAACACCTGAGAATGTCAGATGCTGCAGAATGTCGGATGTGCCCTGAAGAGCCTGCACCAGTACTGGCAGGTACTCTGGGTCTTGCCCTTTGGGGCTGAGCCCGAGGTGGGTTTTGTCTTCACTCCTTTCCCCATAGGGGGTCCACCACCATCACCTGGGCCCAGGCAAGAACTTAGAGTGTGGCAGGCAGCTAGCTGCAAGGCAATGCCCCTGTGGAGGAATTGGTTTATTCATTCATGGACAGGAGGAAGGGAAGGCACAGGACCCCTTTTCTGCCTTTGAAACACACCTGTTCACTGCAGCTGAAAGCACAAAGCCTTCTCAAGGCCTTTTTCCACTCTTCTCTCCTGGGAACGGGGGGGAGAAGTTGGCACACCAAAGCTGGTGTGCCGTTGAGGTCCTCTCAGAAGATAACACTACACCCCTTCCCAATGTGGATAACTCGTGTACCCTAACAAGGGTTGGGAACCAAGAGGTCCCTTGTATACTCTGACTCTCACCCAGCATGCCTGAATAACTTTGGAGAAACGAGGCTTCTTTTTCAGTGATGGGGGGAACCGGAATGGCTGGGTGATCCTTGCACGGTGCCAATAAACTGGACATTTCCCCGCATTTCTATAGAACACACAGCGTGGCTAGAATTTTAGTGAACAAAACAGAAATATTTCCAGGAATCAGAGCACAGAATGGGACTCCAAGGCTTGGATTGTTTCCTTAATCTACAAACAATGACTTAACCTTATTTATCCCACTTTAAGTACAGATGAAGGACAGAAGAAAATTTCTAAATGATTGTATAATCCTTTCTCAAGTAAGTCCCAAGACGCTGTCTCATTTTTGTCATACAAATGAAGTAGAAGGAGATATGGTTGCCATTTCACAAAAAAAGTGACCCGAGGTTTAAAGGCGCCAAGGGCATGGGCCACAGAGAGGCGCGGTTTAAATTTGTCTTCGAGTGGTTTCTTCCTACACTGCCTCCTGCCCCTCAAGAAGGGTGGACGGGGATTGCAGGGAGGTTTTCTGCCTAATGATGAACCAGAATGTTGTGGAACCAGCATCCCCACCCTCAAATGCTTGGCCTGGGAAACGAATCTATTGTGTTGACTCTTTTAATATCTGGTCTGAGCTGCTATGTGTACAGTTTCTCTAAACCCGTGTGTTGAACAGGGTGCCAAGATGCTAAGGTCCTTCACAACCCCACCTAGTCCAGGTGTCTGCGAGTGATGGACGAGGGTCTCAGGAGAGGGTGTGCCATCCTGTCCTTCATTGGCTAGTGCATGTATGAGCCCCATTTTTGGTCCGTATCAGTGTTACATGTCACATAGGCCAGAGAGCTCCTGGCTGCTTACGGTGAATAACTTTGACTCCAGGCTCTAAAAATAGGCCAGAGAAAGGGCCATCTGAAACCCAAATGCTTGTCCCTGTGGGTGCAATCTATCCAGACACTGCGTGGTTACTATTCTGGAGTGTGTTTCTTTCTCCTTTAGCATGGCCTCCCCAACCACAAAATCACGGCCTCTACAGTGAGGGGAGACTAGGACGCTCACTCAAGCCAACCTTTCCACCAAGGCCCCTTTGTTCTATTTCCCCCCAAAGATGCCATGCTTTGAAAGATAGTGCCTGCCAAGAAAACTGCACTAGGTCATAACTGATATATTTTGCTGTTAGTTTTATTTCTTTCTAAAAAATCAATCAGAGGCTATGCCTGCCCATTTAGAGATTTGATCTAAATGGTAAGAGGTGTGACTTGCTGCTTTTATAAAGGGGTACGGCTTTGTGGATACCTGTGGAGTGTTTGGTTTTTGTGCATGCTGTAAAATATACACAACATAAAATGCACCTTCATAATGATTTTGAAGTGTATAGTTCAGGGACATCAAGTGCCTTCACACTGTTGCATAACCATCGCTACTGTTTCCAGAACTTCTTTTACCACCCCCAACTGCAGCTCTGTACCCGTTCAACAAATCCCCATTCCTCCCAGCCCCTGGCAGCCACTGTTTTACTTTCTGCCTCCAGGTGCTCTAGGTACCTCATACAAAATGAGTCATACAGTATTTGTCCTTTGTGACTGGTCTTTTTCACTTTGCATAACATCTTAAGGTTCGTCCATGTTGTAGCACGTATCAGTACTTTGTTCTGTTAAGGCAGATATAGTCCACTGTATATGTATATACCACATTTTGTCTATCTACTTGCAGAAGGCAGGTAGGTAGGCATGAACAGGGCAGGAATGATGGGACAAGTCCAGAGGGTCACCGGGGCAGAGCACCCTGCGTGCCTAGCAGAGGGCAAAACTGTAAGCCCGTGCTTGAGCATTAACCACTTCCTTGAGCATTAACTTCTGGAGATGACATCTGGGCCTCGAGATGCGTTTTAGTTCCAGGCCCAGAAAAGCAGGAAAACCAGACAGAGCAGAGTGACCGTGCCATGGCTGACGTCAGGACCAGCTGCAATGACTAACGACGCCCTCCCCTGGTGCCAACCGATCCATGGAGACCACATTCTATTGGGGTCCCCCCGTAAGACCTCAGATAAAAGGCCCCAGAATGGAGGACCCATCTCTCTCCGTCTCTGTGTCTGTCTCTCTCTGTCTCTCCTAATCCAAGGGCCCTTCTTTTGCTGGAACTTGTTTCCTGAGCCCATTTCTCTACAGGCTCACTTACTTCTACCTCTGTGACTTTTTAAATAAACTTTCTCTTATAATTTGAGTCTTGGCTCTGAATTTTTCTTTTAGCCAGAGCTCAAGAACTGAGGTTGCTGAACCAAGGCTAACACCTGGTGCCATTTTTTCCGCCGCTAACACAACTCATTCGTCAATGGACACTTGGGTTGTTTCCACCTTTTGACTATTGTGAATAATGTGTGGAGTTTTAAGATGCTGGAGTTCTAAGTTCCTGAACATAGTGCCTGTGTGAATCCTGAGGACAGAGACCCCAGGTTGGGAACCTGGATTTCTCCCAACGTAGCATTTATGGACAAAGCAGAGTCTCTGAGGGAAGCTATGATGGTCTCCGTCCCCCATGCCCACCCCAGCTGCTCTGAGTGCCTCCTGCTGGGCTTTACTTCTTAACTGAAGTGTCTAGAAAATTGTATGTTTTCTCCACAGCATGATATTTCATGAAGCTATTTTTATAAATATAGCTTTATTACCTTCACCAGAATCCTGTGTCCTGGTACCTGGGTCCTGTCAGGGGTCTTGTCCAGCTACCCAAGGCATAAAAGGGCTTCAAGCCCTCTCGGAGAGCCCATCCTCCAACTACAGGCTAGTCAGGTCTCCTAAGGTGACTGCCCTTTCAGGGGTGGAAAGTTCGGAGATGAATTGGATGTATGATGGAGGAAAAGGGCCAGAGGCCTGTTGACACTGAGTTTCCCCACCCTAGAGGGGCTCTTGGAGGGACTCTGTGTCCTGCCCTGCCATGTGTAGTTTGAGAGGTCGTGCTGATCATTGGTCTCCACTGATGAATGGCCTCTTGACTTTACCAAGACCATGCACCACTCAACAGACCAATGCGAGCTGGAGGCGGGCACCCAGCC